TGGGAGATTTATGGTGTCCCAAGTCACCGGTTTTAATCCCGAATCGAGGAAAAGAATGACTCTGTTATTATAGTCTGCGAACAGAAATCCGGGTAAGGAATTCTGTTAACCCGGGAGAAGGTGTTAGGCACTCCCGAGTTCCGTGGTTCTAGCACGGTCGCTTTGGTAATTACTTGGATTATGAAATTACTTAATTACTGATTTTAGAACCTATGTGCGTTTACTTCTTTCACCGCTTTTAATTAAGAAAATTATCTTGAAACGGGTTACACGTACGTATACCCGCTTGTTTGGTGCGTCAAAAGTCATGTCACGCGAACGTGTCCACAATTAATAACGCTTTATTATTATTAAGAAAGTTTGGGCCGAAGTTGCGCGAACGCATACTCCGATTTTGTTTTTAGAATCGTAATTATGTTACGCGGACGTATACATAATCACAATTGTATTTTAAACGGCCCTGAAGGATATTCTATGAAATATTATTTTTTATCCAACCTACAAAATTACTAAAAAGCCATATGTGATTTTGATGAATTCACGTGAACTAAAAAAAAATTTAAAAGCTTATAACCTATTTTATTATTAAGAAAAAGATTGAGCGAAGTTGCGCGAACGCATACTCCGAGTTAATTTGGGATCATGATTATGTTACGCGAACGTATACACAACCACAATCGTATTTTAAGCGGCCTTAAAGGCTTGCTACGCATATTGATCATTTTTTAAACACCTAGATTCGACCTCATTAGTTACCCGAGGTTGCCAAGCCTAGTGACAGGCCCAACGCCTGTCAAAGTCTCCATTCAATGACAAAGAGGCGTGCTTTTTTAAATGAAATAGTCTGATACTTAGGCCCAAAATGAGCCCACCTATTAGTGAATACATTGCTGTAGGCAGAAGACAGGAAATTAAATCAGTTGGTGCTTTAATCACTGTCAATATCACTAAACGAAGGACTTGCAATCGCCAATTAATCAAAATAAAACATGCAACACGCACTTAAACTTACATCCATAATTGATCTACCTTATACATGCAAAGAAACCCGTATTAAACTCACTAGCTTGCACATATGATTTAAAAGTACAATTACACCTATAGCTTTTTAAACATCAAAAAGAAAAGAAAAAAAATCGTATGTAAACATGGACATCCCTAGCTAGAATACCTCTGGAATTGATATTCCCAACCCCGAATGCACATCCAGTCTACTTACTAGATCCCAATATGCCACAGCAATTTAAGAAACTCTTACTAAATACATGTTTCATGATCCAAAACCTTGGACCAACCATATCAAAAATTTGATCCAATAACAACATGATTAGCATGAAGTGGAACATATTTATAAGCTATACATCGAACAACCACTATTCGACAAGAATATTTTCAAATCCTACAATTTATACACATCACTTTGAGGACAAGCATGAAACAGAAATGAAAATAGACAGACTAAAAACTGATGGAGAACCAACATCGACACTCAAACATCAAGCCATTTTATTCAATTTTTTTAACTCCCAATTTGACAATCACATGGTTCGAAGTTCAGGGATGTGTACCTGAGAATGGAAAAACAAAGAAACAGAATAAGGAGGGTCAGCAGTAGTGAAAACAACACAGCAGCAACAAAGCTTAACCAGCTGAAACCACCAAGAACTCAAAACCAAAAGTCCACAAGAATCAGACTCAGCCTTATACAGTTAGATTCAATCCAGTCTTCAACCCCAGATCAAACAGCAAACATTTCAGAATTAGCAAGCTTCTAAAAACCAAAAAATGGAACAGTGTTTTCTAAAGTTCTCAGCCGCTATGATTTTCAGAAAATTTTATCTCCTAAACCCTCTAAACTTTTAAGTGTTCTCTTTTTCAGCTCTCCAACCTGCCTTCCAAGGCAAGAAAAGGTGTCTTTTTATAGGCCAAGGAATAGGGCAACACTTAGGAATTAGATTTACTCCTTAGGTCCCTGATTTTATGACTTGTTCCTCTCATTTTCTGACTTGTGTCACAAGTAACTACCCTAAGTTTACTAAAGTCTACACTATAGCCCATCCTAGAAGGTTCTATACTTATCACAATCCCTATCCTATCCTTACCCCTCTTCAAAAATTACCAAATCTAATAAAACTACCCTTTTTCCATGCCCAAACTACCCTTAAAACCTCCTGAAATTACTGGTCATTGCTAAACCCGCCAGCTATAACCAAACCACTAATCTAGCCTAAACTAATTAAGATTAATTAATAAAACTTGAAGCTCAAACTGAAATTAAACCAATTAGACTAACAACCAGGTTCATTTAGTCAGACCAAAACTCCAATTTAGACATGCATCAACAACTATTGAACAAATACGGATCCAAAACAACAAATCGACCTATTAACCTACTGAGTCAGAATCAATTTTATTATCAGAAAAGCAAGCCTATCAACTTGAATCAAAACTAATAAGAAGATCAGAACTATCAATTGGTTGGCCTAAACGAACATTTGGATATATAAACTGGCAAAGGTAAGATGAAGTACAAACTAAGAATTAACCAAACTAACACTCAAACTAATCACATAAAACAAATAAAAATTGACTAACAATTAACAGGAACCAAAAATTCAGAGAAGAGAAACTTACTGGCTTTAAGAATTCTGGCCAACCAATGACGTTCGAATCTTTCAAGATTTTTGACACGCAACATCCCTAATCATGTGTTTTCGCAAGAATACACCTGGTTAAGGATGGTGCGGTCCAAAATCACGAAGATTTTGAATTAGGGTTCTGCCGGGATCGAAATTTTAGATTCGTGACATTCTGGACAGATTCGAGGGACGGGGCTTGGGGGGTTTGAAAGAGGAGGTGAAGGCAGTTAGGTGGTGTAAATTTGGGGTGGTTTGGGTGGGGTTTCGTCGTGGCCGGAAAACTTTGAGTTAATATTCGAAGGGCCCGGCGTTGATTCGAGGGAAACTAAAGGCAGGTTGGAAAGAGGGGAACGAGGAGAACCGGTGGTGTAATTTTGGGGTTGATCGGAGCATCGCCGCCGGCGGCGACGATTTCCGGCTGGCGGCGGACGGCGGAGGGACGGTGGTAGATGGTGGGGCTAGGGTGGCCGGCACCGGCGTTACGGGGGGGAGTTGGTACGAGGAAGAGAGATTTTGGTCTCTGATTTTGTACAGGGATTATTACATTTTTATGTAAATTCCCTGGACAACTCTGGACCGTTAGATTGGTATGGACGAAAGGCTGAGATTGATTCACTATAAAACGACGCCGTTTTTGGCATCTCTGGACCGGACTGGGCTGGGGCGTGGATTGGGCTGGTCTGGGGTATGTTTGGACTGGACCTAACTAGTTAAAATTAACCCAATTAAAGCAGCCCCAAATATTTCCCTTTTCCTTTCTTTTTTCATTTTGTATTTAATTTTTTTCTATTTTTCCTGATTTTGTAAAATGAAAAATTAAAGACCTAGTATATCTTCAAAGTTGAGCTAATTGATTAAGTCCTATTTAAAGTAAACTCCAGACAAATTCAATAATTAACAATTAAAAATGCAAAATAGACTATTTTGTTATTTCATACAACTTAACCCCTAATTAATCCTAAATGTGAAATTAAATCCTAAATGCAAATGCCAAATGTATTTTTATATTTTCCATATGAACAAAAAAAACACAAATAAAAATGCAACAATTACCAAAAATGACACAAAATTCACAAAAAATTGTAAAAATAGAGAAAAGATCATTTTATTTTAAAATTTTAGGAATTATTCATATAGGGCAAAAATCACGTGCTCACAACGACAACCATTATTATCCCCCAGAACCTACCTTCAAAGCGCCAGAACCATGTTCTTACACTCCTCATTTTGATCTCTCGGTAGAAACTGAGAAGCCACCTAAGAATCCCGAACAAGAGGAGATGATTAGGAAAGTTAAGAGCTTGGAGCAATCTTTCAGGAATATGCAGGGGCTAGGTGGTCAAGTAAGCGTGGCGTATAAAGACCTGTGTCTGTTCCCAGATGTTCAACTACCAGCAGGATTTAAGATGCCTAAGTTTGATTTATATGACGGGCATGGTGATCCAGTGGCACACTTGAGAGGTTTTTGTAGCAAGATGAGAGGAGCAGGCAGGAGAGATGAATTACTGATGGCATACTTCAGTCAAAGTTTAACTGGCTCGGCTTTGGAATGGTACACCCGACAAGATCATGGTCGGTGGTACACATGGGACGATCTGGCCCAAGCCTTCGCATGCCATTTTCAGTATAATCTTGAAATTGTTCCAGACCGTCTGTCATTGACGAAAATTGAGAAAAAGCGTGGGGAGAGTTTTAGAGAATACGACTTTCGTTGGAGAGAGCAAGCAGCAAGGGTCGACCCTCCGATGAAAGAGAGTGAAATGGTTGATTATTTCTTGCAGGCCTTAGAGCCCACTTATTTCGGTCACTTGGTGTCAGCGTAGGGAAATCCTTTAACGAAGTGGTAAAAATGGGAAGCATGGTAGAGGAAGGACTCAAATCTAACAAAATCATGAGTTATTCAGCAATCAAGGCGACCACCCAGGCCATCCAAAACGGCACTGGGGGTGTATTAGGAAAGAAGAAGAGAGAGGACGTTGCAACAATAGAGTTAAGAACTTGGTGTCCGGGGGCCCATCACCTTACTATAACCAGCCTCGACCCCACTACCAGCCTTACCCCCACACTCCATATAGCCCATCACAACACTACTACCCACCGCCAGATCCCCACTTCTCTGTCCATCATGGTCAGACATACACTCAACCTCCTGCCCACGCACAATGGCACGCGCCAACCCCATAGCATACCTACCCAGCTCCACATAATACCTATCCACCCCCAAGAGCCTACAGAAATCCCCCTGGAGCAGGTTTCCGACCAAATCAAGCCTTCAAGAATGAGAGGTTGCAGAAGCAGAAGACTTTCACCCCACTGGGAGAATCATATACTAGTCTATTCCACAGATTGAGACAGTTGGGTATGTTGAATCCGATTGAGCCTAGGCTGCCAAATCCCCCTCCAAGAAATCTTGACCACTCGGTGAGTTGTGAATATTGTTCAGGGGCCCCGGGGCATGACACAAAGAAATGCTGGAAATTGAAAACAGCTATTCAAGAGCTCATTGATACCCGTCGGATCGAGGTTCAAGCCCCAGAAATGCCCAACATCAACCAGAATCCGCTCCCAGCCCATCATGAGACCAATATGATTGAGATAGTGCAAAAAGGAGGAGAGCCTAAAAAGCCCTTGCAGACTGTGATGATGATCAGGTCCAGTGAAGTCAGGCCAAGTGAGAAGTCAACTAGTGGGAAGTCGTTGATCAAGTTGAAAGAGACAGATAGTAAACCAGTTGTGGTGGTTCAGAAGGAGTCTTCGAGCAAGGTTGCAGTGAAACAAGAAAAAGCAAAAGTGGTAGTTCCAAGGGCAGCCAACAAGCCCGGTGTAGTTGTGGAAGGTGCTCGCACAGAGCCTGTTATTATCAAACCAGTGACTCAGCTACCAATAGTCAACAGCAAGGCCGTCCCTTGGAATTATGGCCGAATGACAGTGATTTACAAAGGGAAAGAGGTTAAAGAAGATGTCTGTGAGACCCATGGTCTGACCCGCTCAGGGAGAAGCTTTGCCCCCGAGGAGTTAAGAAAAGCCAAAACCGCCAAAGATAACCCAGTGTTAGTGAAGAAAGCTGTGACCGAAGAAAAGGCAGAGGAGTTCTTGAGGAAGATGAAAATGCAGGACTATTCTATTGTAGAGCAGTTGAGGAAGACCCCTGCCCAGATTTCATTGCTCTCATTGTTAATCCGTTCGGACGAGCACCGTCGGGCATTGATGAAAATCTTGAATGAGGCCCACGTTCCGGACAAGATCTCTGTAAACCATCTGGAAAAGATAGCAAATAAGATTTTTGAGGTAAATAGAGTCACTTTTTCTGATGATGAATTGCCCATGGAGGGTACCGAGCATAACACAGCCCTTTACCTTACGGTGAAGTGTGAAGATTCCGTGGTTACTCGGGTACTAATTGATAATGGGTCCAGCGCCAACATTTGCCCTCTCTCCTCCCTAGACAAATTGAAAGTGGACAATGAAAGAATTCACAAGAACAGTATTTGTGTTCGGGGGTTCGACGGTGGAGGGAAAGATTTAGTCGGAGACATAGTGCTGGAGCTGACAATAGGGCCAGCTGAATTTACTATGGAATTCCAGGTGCTCGATGTGGCGGTTTCTTACAATCTGTTGGTAGGACGACCCTGGATTCATGCCGCCAAGGCAGTGCCATCTACCCTGCACCAGATGGTTAAATTTGAATGGGACAGACAGGAAATTGTAGTGCACGGCGAGGATGGTTTGTGTGCCCAGAATGATGCCATTATACCCTTCATCGAAGTTGAAGACGACAAGGGGCCGTGGGTCTATCAGGTTTTTGATACAGTATCAGTTGAAAAGATCCCAGAAGGGGAGTGTGTTCCAATTCCGAAGGTAGCAGCTGCATCAGTCATGGTGGCTTCTGAGATGTTGAAGAATGGCTTCGTACCTGGCAAGGGTTTGGGTGCGTCTCTGCAAGGTATCGTACAGCCGGTGTCTCTTCCCAAAAACTTTGATACCTTTGGTTTGGGATTCAAGCCTACAGCTGCAAACATAAGGCTAGCCAGAAAGTTGAAACAGAGAGCATGGGTTCTACCAAAGCCTGTCCCCCGTCTCTTCCGATCCTTTGTCAGGCCTGGTACTAAGAAGCGCCTAGCAACAACAATGCCCGGTTCTGTGATTGGTCCTGATAAGGAGTTGCTTGAAAGGTTTGAAAAGCTATTCGACGTGGTGAATATGGTGGAAGCCGGAGAGGGGTCGAGCAAGGCGGATGTGCAATTCATGGGGCCCAGTGCAAAGATCAACAATTGGGAAGCTACTCCTCTTCCTATTCGGAGGGAGTCTTGGTAGTCGGTTTTGATTTTTCTTTCAGTTTAATCTAGATTATTTCCAGGGTTGTAATTAAGATTCTATGTTTTGTCCGTTTGGATGAGTTAAACCTTGTTATCTTTAAATTTCAATGAAATGCAATTTCCCTTCTTTTTTATTCCCGATAGTTTTCATTTTTGTTTTTCTTTTCTTTCTTGTACAGTCCTTTTTATGCTGGTTTCATTGACATGACATGCATGAGGAATCTCCGGCCCAGTCTTAAATGCTAATCTAATTCTGAAATAATAATGCAAGAAATTGAGTGTGATGACGAAGTGGAATATGATGATGAGGAAGCCTTTGAGGAAGTCAGTAAAGAATTAAGCCATTTTGAAGAAAACCCCAAACCTAACCTGAATGATACAGAAGTAATCAACTTAGGGGATCAAGATAATGTCCGGGAAACTAAAATAAGCGTCCATCTTGAACCACAGCTCAGAGAAGAGATAATTAAAGCACTGTTGGAGTACGAAGATGTTTTTGCATGGTCATATGACGACATGCCGGGTCTGAGCACTGACTTGGTTGTTCACAAATTGCCCACTGACCCGGCATTTCCCCCTGTCAAGCAGAAGCTGAGAAAATTTAAAACTGATATGAGTGTGAAGATTAAAGAAGAGGTCACCAAGCAGTTCGAGGCAAAGGTCATTCGGGTCACACGGTATCCCACCTGGTTAGCCAACGTTGTGCCTGTACCAAAGAAGGATGGTAAGACCAGGATGTGCGTTGATTACCGTGATCTCAACAAGGCAAGTCCGAAGGATAACTTCCCATTACCAAACATCCACATATTGATTGATAATTGTGCCAAACATGAGATTGGTTCTTTTGTGGATTGTTATGCGGGCTATCACCGGATCTTAATGGACGAGGAAGATGCAGAAAAGACGGCATTCATCACGCCATGGGGAACATACTGCTACAAGGTCATGCCATTTGGTTTGAAAAATGCTGGGGAAACCTACATGAGGGCGATGACAACCACATTCCACGACATGATACACAGGGAATCGAGGTATATGTGGATGATGTAATTGTAAAAACCAGGAAGCAGTCTAACCACGTCAGGGATCTGAGAAAGTTCTTCCAAAGGCTTCGCAGGTACAATCTTAAGCTCAATCCTGCAAAATGCGCTTTCGGTGTTCCATCTGGAAAATTGTTGGGATTCATAGTCAGCCGTCGAGGTATTGAATTGGACCCATCAAAAATCAAAGCCATCAAGAATTGCCACCTCCAAAGAACAAGACCGAGGTGATAAGTCTGTTAGGGAGATTGAATTACATCAGCAGGTTTATCGCTCAGCTTACAACAACGTGCGAGCCTATCTTCAAGCTGTTAAAGAAGGATGTTGCATCAAGTGGACAGACGAATGTCAAGAAGCATTTGATAAGATAAAGGGGTATTTGTCAAACCCACCGGTGTTAGTCCCGCCAGAACCAGGGAGGCCTTTAATTCTATATTTGACGGTTTTGGACAATTCGTTTGGATGTGTGTTAGGTCAGCATGACATCACCGGCAGGAAAGAGCAGGCCATATACTACCTCAGCAAGAAGTTCACAGCTTACGAGGTTAAGTATACCCAGCTTGAGAGGGCGTGTTGCGCCCTAACTTGGGTAGCACAGAAGTTGAAACATTACTTGTCATCGTATACCACTTACCTCATCTCTCGGTTTGATCCGTTGAAGTATATCTTTCAAAAGCCCATGCCCACAGGGAGGCTCCCAAAGTGGCAAATCTTGCTCACGGAATTTGACATAGTCTATGTGACCCGGACTACAATAAAAGCTCAGGCACTGGCCAACCATTTGGCCAAAAATCCGGTGGATGAAGAATACGAACTTTGAAGACATACTTCCCTGATGAAGAGGTAATGCATGTCGATGAGCTGGAACAAGTTAAAAAGCCAGGATAGAAACTTTTCGTTGATGGGCAGCTAATATGAAAGGCGTGGGGATAGGAGCGGTACTCATTTCTGAAACAGGGCAACACTTCACGGCTCAGCTTCATTTCTATTGTACTAATAACATGGCCGAGTATGAGGCATGTATCTCGGGTTTGAGGCTAGCTATAGACATGGGTGTCCAGGAAATCTTGGTCATGGGGGACTCGGACCTTCTAGTACACCAAATTCAAGGAGAATGGGAAACACGAGATTTGAAGCTCATACCATACAACAATGCTTGCATGATATTTGTCAACGGCTTCAATCAATAGAGTTCAGGAACATTCCAAGGATTCATAATGAGGTTGCCGATGCTTTGGCTACTTTGGCTTCAATGTTGCATCATCCAGATAAGGCTTATGTGGACTCTTTGCAGATTCAGGTCCGCGATCAGCATGCTTACTGTAATATGGTGGAAGAAGAACTTGATGGTGAGCCGTGGTTCCATGATATCAAAGAATACCTCAGAATGGGAGTGTATCCGGTACAGGCCACAGGTGATCAAAGGAGAACAATTCGATGGTTGGCAAGTGGATTTTTCTTCAGTGGAGGGGTATTGTACAAAAGAACTCCAGATCTTGGGTTGTTGAGATGCATAGATGCTAGACAGGCCACAACTATTATGACCGAAGTACATTCGGGAGTTTGTGGACCACATATGAGTGGGTACGTGTTAGCAAAGAAGATTCTCCGAGCAGGTTATTATTGGCTTACTATGGAGCGAGATTGTATCAGTTTTGTGCGCAAGTGTCATCAGTGTCAAGTGCATGGAGATTTGATTCACTCTCCACCATCGGAATTGCACACAATGTCTGCACCATGGCCTTTTGTTGCGTGGGGCATGAATTTCATTGGGCCAATTGAGCCAGCAGCATCAAATGGGCACAGGTTCATTCTGGTGGCCATTGATATTTCACCAAGTGGGTTGAGGCTAAAACGTTCAAGTCTGTGACCAAGAAAGCGGTGGTTGATTTTGTGCACTCAAATATCATTTGTCGGTTTGGGATACCAAAGGTGATCATTACAGACAATGGGGCTAATCTTAATAGTCATCTGATGAAAGAGGTATGTCAGCAATTCAAGATTACACATCGCAATTCCACCCCTTACCGCCCCAAGGCAAACGGAGCAGTTGAGGCGGCCAACAAGAATATAAAGAAGATACTGCAGAAAATGGTGGAGGGTTCTAGACAGTGGCATGAAAAGTTGCCTTTTGCATTGCTGGGTTATCGTACTACTGTTCGTACTTCAGTAGGGGCAACTCCTTATTTGTTGGTGTATGGCACCGAGGCAGTGATACCCGCAGAAGTGGAAATCCCATCCCTTCGGATTGTCGCAGAAGCTGAAATTGATGATGACAAATGGGTCAAAACCCGCCTGGAGCAATTGAGTTTGATCGATGAGAAAAGATTGGCAGCAGTGTGTCATGGCCAGTTGTATCAACAGAGAATGGCAAGAGCATATAATAAGAAGGTGCGTCCACGAAAGTTCGAAGTGGGTCAGCAAGTGTTGAGACGTATTCTTCCACATCAGGCCGAGGCCAAAGGCAAGTTCGCCCCAAATTGGCAGGGGCCATTCATCGTGACGAGAGTGGTGTCCAATGTCCTTTGTATTTAACAGACATAGAAGGCAAGTGTGTAAAAATGGCCATCAATTATGATGCGGTCAAGAGATATTATGTATGATTTTCATTGGTTTAATTGCATTTGTTTGTACTCGGCATGTTTTGGAGATTGGAATGACGAAGGCATTTTTTCTGCTATCTAAACACTTTATCCTTTGTTACCCCTTTGAGACTTATTTATTTTATTTCACACCCCTCTTTTGAAATCAGTAGCAGAGATCAGAAACACAAGCGTGAAAGATAAGTAAAGGAAAAAGAGAGAAACGAAAAGAATGAAAAAAGAAAAGAAAAAAAGAAGAAAAGGAAAGGAGAAAAAGAGAAAAGAGAAAGAGAAAAAGAAAAACAAACCAACAAAACAACAAAAAGAAAAGAAAAAGAAAAAGAGAGAAAGAGAAGAAAGAGATAAGAGAAAATCACAACAACAAAGTAATTTCTATGACATGAACTACGTTCGACCTGATTCCTTTTAAGGATACGTAGGTAGCCTCACGGTTCAGTCCCATCAAAACAAAATCCAAAAGCCCCCAAGCAAGAAACTGGGGCAGAAGTTGTGGTTGTGCAAGAGATTCGATTCCGAAAGTTGTAATTTTGAACCCAGCTGAATTGTTTTGAGCCTTTAATACCCTTTCTTTCTAACCCTATCCAAAAGCCCACATTACGGTCCAAAGAAAGACCTTCTGATCAGTCTTCGGGAAATGCCAAGTCGAGCAGATAGAGGTGATTCATTTCAGGGGCAACACTCTGGTCCAAGCAGGAAAATAATAAAAATGAGAGAGTCTTATTGGTGAAAACCCTCACGGGCACCGTAAGGCGACGGGAGCTGAGAGAAATAAAAAATGAGAGAGTCTTATTGGTGAAAATCCTCACGGGCACCGTAAGGCGACGGGAGCTGAGAGAAATAAAAAATGAGAGAGTCTTATTGGTGAAAACCCTCACGGGCACTTTAAGGCGAAAGTGAGTTGAGAAGTGAACAAATGGGAGAGGTCTGTGGGTGAAAACCGTTCAGGACACCGCAGGATGAACAAGGTTAGGGTTTGGGTGAAGAAATCAGGTTATGGAATTCTGGGGCAACAAAGTATGGCAACTGAAAGTTGATTGGTTGGACGGATTGGGCCGGTTAGTCCGAAATGCATGTCATGATCAATGGTACCAACTGTTCCACTCAGATAAGTCTTTTTTCCTTTTCCTTTTTGCAAGTCGTCCGGTTTTTGATTTTCTTTATCCTTAATTCTCAAGGTCATTGCATTTCATTTCTTTTTGGGGTTTTGTCTCTCTAAGAATATTTCAATGTCAGTCTTGTTCAAAGCAAATAAGAAAGGATTTCAAAGCTCACTACCAGCTTCCACAAATGCAAAGCACAGTGTAGCCAGAACATACCAAAGATAGCACGATGTGAAGTGGGATATAAGGAGTCACCAGAAGTTTCATCGGTAGAATGATCTGTTAATGTCATGGGAGATGCAAAGGTTCAGATGAAGGGTCAGAGAGGTAAAACAATGGTTTGGGTACAGAACACTTGGGTCATCCAAGGTCATGGGGTTTGAAAGTCAGTCAGAAAGTCAAGCGGTTCAGGGCCAGTTCGAGGAAGCAGGTCAAAACAAAGCACGGCAGCGGAGACATCTCCAGCACGAATGCCATCAACTAACCACCATTTTAAACTGACCAATTTTTCTTTGATTGAAACAGGGGCAGAAAATTTCATTTGTTCGGAGGAACTCTCCGTAAGGGAAGAGCACGCACCAAAACAGGTTTGACCGTAAACTCTCAGGACCCTCCTGGAAAATGTGGCTTAGTTAGATTTCAAAACAATCATGAATAGCATAGTTTAGCATAAATGAATGTAAGTTGGTTTCAAAGTTTGCATGTTTAAGATAGGATTCAATTAGGAGTTTTCAGGACCCCCCTGAATAATGGGACCTAGTTTTAAGATTTCCATTAGATCACAAGATGTAGCGTAAAATCTATTGTAGGATGGTATAACTCAGTCGTAAAATTGTCATTTTTTTAAGATAAGACTTGATTTTGATTTTTAGGACCTTCCTGGATAATAGGATGTAGTTTTGAGACCCTCTTAGATAACAGGACTTAGTGGAAGTAATACCTTTAAAAGATATAACTTAGATTTATTATTGTCGTTTAATTAAGAGTTGTCAGGACCTTCCTGGATAATAGGACCTAGCTTTCAAATTCTTAGTAATAATTGGTAGAAGGATTCAGTTTAACAGTCACCTATGTGCCCAGCTACCAAACTGGGGAAGAAAATTTTTCTTTGTTTGGTCTATTTTGTTGAAATCAGGTACCCACCTGGAGAACAAGGGAATACATTTCAAGTTCAGCAATCAGGAGCCCACCTGGAGAACAAGGGAATACATCCAAGTTTCAGCAATCAGGCGCCCACCTGGAGAACAAGGGAGTACAATTCAAGTTTTAGCTTTCAAGTTCTTACTGATATTTGGTAACATGATTTAGTTTACAATCACATATGTGTCCAGCCACCAAACTGGG